TCCCTAGTACACGTGGTACAGGCCATGATAATCATGGTGGGTAGTTATCGACTGCTCTTACTGTAAGCCCACCACATGTGAAAAGCAGTTCGACTTTGCACTTACAAATGTGCCAGAGCCCCGTTTGGTTACTTGCACTCGCTGGTGGGGTTGGACTTTTGCAAGAATCGGGGGCCATTGGAGCATTTTTTTTAAACAGAAAAAAGTATCCAATGCGGGAATTGAACCCGGGTTGTAGTGGTCGAAAACCAAACGGTTTAACCAGCCTTCCACCGACCCCCCAGATCTTGTAGCTATAATCCAAATAGTGAGTTATCACAATACCATCCTAAATAGAACTAATCAAGTTCGCTCCCTACAGTAGCTAGAATAAACCATTGGCTGTCATAAGAAGAATAGCATCTAATGAGACACAATCTTTGGATTCAGGATCGAATCCTGCATTGGACACTTTTTTTTATTATTATCCCTAGTACAAGTGGTACAGGACATGATAATCATGGTGGGTAGAAGGCGACTGCTTTTTACTGTAAATGTACCACATGTCTACACATGTGAAAAGCAGCTCGACTTTTGCACTTACAAATTTGCCAGAGCCCCGTTTGGTTACTTGCACTCGGTGGTGGGATTGGACTTTTTCAAGATTCGAGGACCATTGGAGCATTTTTTTTAAATCAGAAAAAAGTGCCCAATGCAGGATTCGAACCAAGGTCGTAGCTGTCGAAAACCAACAGTTTAGAACATCTTTCCATTGACCCTCCTTGACACAATTTAAAAATTACAAATCAGTTCAGTAAACACTCACACAATATCAATTATATTGCCTTTGAATGAAAATACTAAATGCAAATTCACTAAACAGTGACTATATATACAATTTGAAAACATGTATGTTAAGGTATGAGAGGTCAAATTAAAGAAACCTCCCTTAACAAATAAAACTTTTACCCAAAGTCTTGATATTGTTTGGGCTGCCTCGGGTGATCAAGCAAGAAAGAAAATAAGGAAGACAAAACCAGCGGCTACACCTGTAAAGCTCTTCTGCTCTACTAAAAAAACTCTTTATTTAAACAACACGGCTAAGTTATATACATTCAAAAGGAAATTTACATAATAATTTATACATTCAATAGAAATCTACATTCCCAGTCATACATTCAAAAAGATATTTACATACTATATGTCATGACTTTTAACATACCCCCACCTTTCTTTTTTGTAAAACAAGAAAGAAAAAATCCGTTCCACCGTGATGGGGGGATCCTGGTAGGTGGGACACCGTTGCAGGGAGCCCAGGCTCTTATCCAGGAAAACCATCTTCTCCTCGGCACACTGCGGCACCCTCTCCATACACACCACCGGAGATTGCCCCATAAGCGTCCATCTTCTTCTTCCAAAGAAATCGGAGGTAGTCCCAATCATTTTCCCTGATGGCCATCACCTGGAAATATCTCCTCATGTCGGCCAAAACTCCGAACTTATTTTCCCGAAGTTTTATCCCTATCTCAGGAATTCTCCTCAGTAGATTGGGTATCTTTTTTAAATATCGTCTCAAGGAGAGTCTGTTGTGTCTTCGACTGGAAGCGTCGTCAAATACCGGCCGTATAGGCGTCGTTTTGGACTCACTCTTAAACAAAAGGTGACGGGGCAAATAGTGTCCTTCCACCTCAGGTGGATTTTCATTGACTCCTTCAATGAACCCCTCACTCAACCAATCTTTTGGATCAATAATTTTTCCTTCCACCTTTGATTCAGTACCTTGTTCTGCATCTAGCTTTTCTTCCACCTTTAAATCAGTACCCTGTTCTACATCTAGCTTTTCTTCCACCTTTAAATCAGTACCCTGTTCTACATCTAGCTTTTCTTCCTCCACCCTTGAATCAGTACCCTGTTCTGCATCCAGCTTTTCTTCTTCATTACCATCATGATCTTTTCCCTTGTTGTATTTATCGTCCTTATTCTCTGCATAATCAGATTTATTTATGGTTTTCAAATCTTGGGATTCTGTTTCCTTATAATTATCCTTTATCTTAGATTCCGTATCTCCAGTTGGTCCTGCTTCCACCAATTTCCTCGATGCTTGAACTCCGACAACTCTTTCCTCATTATCATCAATCGACTCAGTTTCATCATCTGAAATCCTTACTTGATCAGCGCCTTCAGCTACTGTTCCAGAATTGTTCACCGGTTCATAACCTTTAATTGCCGTTCCAGAATCCTTCACTCCATCGCCCTTAGGCTTCGCTTCAGAATCCTTTACGCCTTCGCCCTTAGGATTCGCTTCAGATTCCTTTACGCCTTCGCCCTTAGGCTTCGCTTCAGAATCTTTTACTCCCTCGCTCTTAAGCTCCGCTTCAGAATCCTTTACGCCTTCGCCCTTAGGCTCCGCTTCAGAATCCTTTACTCCGTCGCCCTTAGGCTCATCTTCAGAATCCTTCATTCCTTCGTCCTTAGGATTCGCTTCAGATTCCTTTATGGCTTCGCTTCAGAATCCTTTACTCCGTCGCCCTTAGGCTGATCTTCAGAATCCTTTACTCCGTCGCCCTTAGGCTCCGCTTCAGAATCTTTTACTCCGTCGCCCTTAGGCTTCGCTTCAGAATTCTTTACTCCGTCGCCCATAGGCTGATCTTCAGAATCCTTCACTCCGTCGCCCTTAGGCTCCACTTCAGAATCATTTACTCCGTCGCCCTTAGGCTTCGCTTCAGAATCATTTGCTTTGTCTTTAGCCTCAGAATCTTCCTTATTCTTTAAATTTGCATCTTCACATTTTTCATTAGCAGTTTCTTCTTGCTCCAACTCTTCCTTATTAAAGTCCATTTCCAACAGATATTCATCACTTGAGGCTTTGTCTCCCTTTATATTTGCTTCTTTAAATTCAACTCCAATTCTACCACCAGTAGAAAGAGCATCCCTTTCCCGTTCACGCATAACGCAAATTCTAGCCTCTAAATAAAATCTTTCCATTATGTAAATTTCACACTCCTCAAATTCCCTATCTATCTCATCGTCGCTAATAGCCTCTTGGGCCAATAAAATTCCCTGGCATTGTTCATTTAATGCCACCAGCTCCAAATGGAGAGATTCCAACCTATCATACCTTGCATATAAGCCACTCCTATCAATGGAAGGATCCTTTAACTCTGCATTTAAACTATTGACTTGCTCAGCAAATCTACCTCTGGCAGCCTCTCTTATTTTGCTCAACTCCTCCATTTCACCTTGTAGTTATCCTTTCACCTTTAGGTATCCTTTCACCTTGTAGTTATCCTTTCACCTTGTAGGTAGCCTTTCACCTTGTAGGTAGCCTTTCACCTTGTAGGTAGCTTTTCACCTTGTAGGTAGCCTTTAGCCTTGTCCCCCTAGATTTATCTTAGCTTCCTTGAGTTCTTTAGATTTTCCTTTAACCTCTTAGAATTCTTTAACCTTATCTTGAGCTTCTTCAACTTCTTTATCCTTACTTGAGCTTCCTCAACTTCTTTATCCTTACTTGAGCTTCACTTTTCCCTTGAGCTCCCCTAAACCTTTAACAAAGGGCTTTTTTTGAGCTCCTTTAAGCCTTGAGCTTCACTTTTCCCTTGAGCTCCCTTTAACAAAGGGCTTTTTTTGAGCTCCTTTAAACCTTGAGCTTCACTTTTCCCTTGAGCTCCCTTTAACCTTTAACAAAGGGCTTTTTGAGCTCCTTTAAACCTTGAGCTTCACTTTTCCCTTGAGCTCCTTTTAACCTTTAACAAAGGGCTTTTTGAGCTCCTTTAAACCTTGAGCTTCACTTTTCCCTTGAGCTCCTTTTAACCTTTAACAAAGGGCTTTTTGAGCTCCTTTAAACCTTTAACAAAGGGCTTTTTTTCTTTTCTCCTCAACTTGACCAGCCCATGCAGCCCACCCGGGGACGCCACAAATGTTAAGGTATGAGAGGTCTAATTAAAGAAACCTCCCTTAACAAATAAAACTTTTACCCAAAGTCTTGATATTGTTTGGGCTGCCTCGGGGGATCAAGCAAGAAATAAAATAAGGAAGACAAAACCAGCGGCTACACCTGTAAAGTTCTTCTGCTCTACTAAAAACGGCTAAGTTATATACATTCAAAAGGAAATTTACATAATAATTTATACATTCAATAGAAATCTTTAAAAAATATATATTAAAAAATGCTCCAATGGCCCACCCCTATTCTTGCAAAAGTCCAACCCCACCAGCGAATGCAAGTAACCAAACTGGGCTCTGGCACATTTGTAAGTGCAAAGTCGAACTGCTTTCACATGTGTAGACATGTGGTGCGCTTACAGTAAAAAAAGCAGTCGCCTACTCACCATGATTATCATGGCCTGTACCACGTGTACTAGGGATAAAAAAAACTAAATAGTAAAAATGGTAATTTTAGGGTTGAAAACTGTCCTTTGTTGAGAAGTGTCCTCTAGCGAGGCTTTGTGATATCCGAAAGCTTGAGATAATAATAAAGCAAGACACTCGAACTCAAGAAGGGCCTGGCTCATCAGTGGTGAACCTTACCAGTGATTTTTCCAGTTTAATCTACCACACTGTTCGAAGATTGTATTTTGGTTTCATAGACATCGTTGCAGGAAGAGAGAGCAGTAGAAAAATTATTTCATTTAAAAGAATCATATGAAAATATCATAAGATAATCTTGGAAGAGCAGACTTCATGTCTAAGGTGAACATAGACAGCATTAAACAACAGGATTTAGAACAGGTCATCTCTCAAGCTATTGAAAAAAAAAATATATAAAATCTACCCTACTTGCCTAAAATGTAGCTTGGCACCTCCAGCTCCAGAACAAAGTTTGGGTTGCATTAGATGTACTAAACAGGACCTTTGGGAGATGCTGCTGCTTATCATAAAACAGCTTGAGGAGCATGAACTCATGGAATTTGTGTATCTTTACACAAGGGGATAAGAAACAACAACGTTATTGCTGAAAAATCATACACTTTGCTAACTTCTACCCACCATGATTATCATGGCCACATGTACTAGGGATAAGTAAAACCACAAACCTCCAATTGCACTTGGAGCATTTAATGTCATATTGAATTTGTAGGAAATATGTGTAAATATTCTGGTGAAAATATAAATGACAAAACACTGTATATATAACAACAAAATCCATTATTTAAAAATAAATAACCATTTATTAATGTAAAGTTCTCTATACAAATAATGTACAAAAAATTTGGAGGCAGGGTCAATGGTAGTAAAGGTGGGGTCCCCTTGGCAGAGCTGACTGCTATAGGGCGCGTCCCCAGGTGGCGGATAGGGGAACGACCTTCAGATATGAAGGCCAGCTGCGAAACAAGCAGAATAACGCAGTCGCGGACCAACAGCAGCATTGTTAGAAGAGGAGTAGACCTCTTTAAAAATCCTGATCAACAAAAGCTGCACCCCTACACCCCATTCCATGAGACCACTCATGGAATTCGTGTAATCTTTACACAAGGGGATAAGAAACAACAACAACAACAAAGGTGGGGTCAGTGATGTTAAGGCGGGGCTTATGGTGGCAGAGGGGCGGGGTCGTGATTGTAGGAGGGGCCGTCCTAGCTCCCTTGAAATGAAGAAAGGGGACTTCCTTAGGTTGTGGAAACATGGGCTCGCTTTCTCCTCCTCCCTTCAACACATCAGGATGGAGTTAGACAAGGGTGATATCAGAATGGTTCATCTAGGAATTACATTACGGGAATATATACATACGGGAATCGAGGGTGTTACCCACTCGTCCAACGACTTTTTGTTTGCGTTTTTTTGGGGCTCTGGTACATTTGTTGGTGCAAAAGTCGAACTGCTTTTCACATGTGTAGACATATGGTGCACTTACAGTAAAAGCAGTCGCCTACTTCTACCCACCATGATTATCGTGGCCTATACCACGTGTACTAGGAACAAGCAAAAAAAAAAACTCTTTTGATTTATATGATTAAAGAATGCATTCTGGCAAGCTTTTCTTCATCTAACTAAGGCTTTGATATAAAACCATATTTGCATAAGAGCTTCACTCGATACATTTTATTGTAATTATATGTATGTAAAACGACAATGGAAACTATCCCGCAAGGGTTTCTTTTAAATGAAAAATCGAAATTTATTTTTAAAGAGAAAAAACGACTATTTCTAACTTTAGAGATGAGGTATGAAAGGATGAATTGTGAAGAGTAACGATAAATGGAAAAATAAAAGTGCCCAGGGATTCATCCTTTCATACCTCATCTCTAAGGTTAGAAATAGCCTTTATTTCTCCTTAAAAATAAATTTCGATTTTTCATTTAAAAGAAACTCATGCGGGATATTTTCCAATGTCGTTTTACAATCATAAGCCGCATTATATTGTATTATAAATTATATGTATGTACCTCTACAGACCTATATGTCCATAGGTTCCCTAAACACTTCTAAGCTGTCTTCCTTAATAAATACAGTTTATATAACAAAACAAATAAAAATAGTATTGCGGTTTGAAGATTAATTTGGCAAAACTGCTGAGAAGGTTTATTACTCATGAGCCAAGCCCTTTAACTTTTAGCATTGCACAATGAGATCTGTAGAGATAATAATTTACAATATATATAAAAACACAAACAAATTGCCAAAAACTATTGTTATAATTCTTTTTTTATCAATAGAAACAATTGAATTTATGATTTATAGATAAAGAGTTAAGGCATGTTTTTTTTTTAGTAATTTGTCTACATCCGCAATCTTGCAATTTTGAGTAGACATTAAATTAGATTGTGAAATATTTTCAAAGGATTTATGCGATATACATCAATCAAATAATTGCAAAAAGTTTCTTTATTAAGTAAAAATGGCAAGCTTTCAAGCATTAGCTCATCATCAGGCCAATTGTTTCGCAAATTACTACAATATATATATATATATAGACATTAGATGTTTTATGCAAACTTACTAATTCCTTCCATTCTTTGATTCCTCTTTGATCATTGATTCCTCCTTTTTAATTTGTTTGATTTTATTCATAGCTATTCTGAACCGTGCTTTGCTGGCCGTGAAATAAGCTGAAGACTGAACAACTTCACGTCCTTTAGCACGGTCCCAATCCTGCATACACCAAACTTGGTTAATACACCATGTATCCCATAGGCACACTTCTATATAAAACACTCAATAGTTCACGAATAAAGAAACTTCTTGCGTAAGGTTTTTAGAAATTTTTATCTTCTTCTTTCTAATCTCCACTCAATCATATTAGGGTAACAAGCTTGGAGAGCTTGAGACTTTTGATGGTGTATATGTATATTTGATGGTTAATATGTTAGAATACCTTCATAAAGGTTGGCGTTCAGCCAACTGAAATATTGGTAAAATAAATGATATTTTGATCCAAAAAATAGTTCACGAATTTATCATAAATTTAATTTATAATCTCAAGATATCATTCAACCAGCATGTACCATCCACCATGCACGATTATTAAAAAAAAAATGTTTTTTTTTTACACACAAATATTGTAATTAAAAATAAAAAAGGCATATCCTGACCAGGAGCACATGTGCTTTTCAGAAGGTAGAGCGCTATCTGGTGGAACAGAAATCAACTAAACATTGATTTAGCCTGTTCTATGATATTTGGCCAAACCAATTTCTTAATAAATCAAGAAAAGCCATCCACGAATCGCATGTGTTTCGCGCTGTTGGCGCTCGTCAGCGTGGAGTAGGCTGTACCACTGTGACCAAAAAGATTTTTAGTTCCAGTGGCTTCTTGAAAAACCAAGAAATGGGTATTTAAGGCCAAATTTGCGTAAAGACGTTGCTATTGTCATTGTTTGCTATGTGAGGGACAAACATATTCATTGGATACGACAACAGAAAATTGACATGGACCCAGAACAGCAGCTTTACACACCCAAGATAGAGGACATTGAGACTGATATGATAGAAATGCATGGAGACATCTGAGGCTCTTCATTGGGTACGACAACAACAGAAAATTGTCATGGACCCAGAACAACAGCTTTACACACCCAAGATAGAGGAAATACCAATTGCTGTGATAGAAACACATGAAGATATCTGAGGCTCTTCCATGTTTAGAATTACCATGTTTAGTCTGGAAGCCGTTGTTGGCTTGGGTGATCTGGTAAATAATTTTCTTGTTCAGGACCTTCCAATATACTGCGGCTCCTTCCTTACGGTCTGTCACACCCAGCCGTTAGCATGACGACATTATAAAACCTAACCACACTCCAATCTTATATTACCAATTGTCTATAAAAGAAAAATGAAGTTTTTTTTTTATAAATACACTCATACAAAACCATCCGTCAAAAGGCAGAAAAGACCGATCAAACAAACAAAATTTTCAATAAAACTTTCAGGTTGTTGCCGTTTTTGTTAATAGAAGAAACTTTTTCTATATATATACAGTTAAACCTGTCTATAGCGCCCCCTCTTGGGACTCACCAAAATTGGGTGCTATAGACAGGTCACTCTTAATGTAAATCGCATCAAACTACATATTTAAAATCGGGCACTAGAGAGGAAGGCACTATTTAGAGGGGGCGCTATTGACAGGTTTAACTGTATGTAAATAATAGTATTTGTCATTAATTTATTAATGTAATACTCCTGTTGAAGGACTGATAAGTCGGAGGCTTGAAAATATAAGGTTTACACAAGAAACTTAGCCCTGGAAGCTTTATTTATTTTATTATTATACACCATGTTCTTTTCAAATTACAGACAGGAATATGTAGATAAGGATATCAAAATTACTTTCACTTTTCAAATATCGTTAACCACAAACGTTTGAAATAGGTTCTATAGATTTAACCCTTAATTACTCGCGCTGGGTGTATTACACCCAGTAAGATACTAAACTGTAAAAAATAAATATAGCAGCTTGAGTGTTTCGGTAGCTTAATTATTTGTGGTGAAGCATAGATTGGCCTAATGAATTTCAAAATGAATTTCAGATAAGCTGGGTGGTTTACACCCAGCGCGAGTGTTTACGTAACACCTTTGGCAGGTCGTGAGTGACAGCTCGCCTATATTTTTTAGGTTTCAGATTCAGATGGATGTATTTCTGTTGGCTTTGTTCACATATTCTTTGTTTACTCTTTATTCCTAGCTCTCCAAAAACTATCATTTGCTATTTATTTTTAAAAATATTTCATGGATACATCAACTCTCTCTAATTCTGAATCCAAAATGAAGTTGTTGGTGGCACATCGGATATATCTTCTGATGAAAATACCGAAATATATAGCTACCATGATTCTGAATCCGAGTTGGAACGCGGTGGAAGACCAGTGAATGGCAAAGTACAAAGGTAAGAATTCGTTCTTACAACATAATTTCTCACCTTACTGGACCGAAAAGAGATGGAAAGAACATCACAACAGCTGTTGGAGCTTAGAGAAAATTTATCACAAATAAAATAGTTGAAAAAATAGTGTGTAACACCAATAAATATATCTCAAGGATTTGAGGAATTTTTCTCGAGAAAGGGATGTAAAAGATAGTAATTAGATAGAGATTTGGGTTCTTATTGGACTTTTGTTACTTTCTGGGACAAGAAAGGCCTGCCATCTTTTCTTTCAAGAAATATGGGCAGATGATGGAACCGGATTCGAAATTTTCCAGTCCGTAATGAATCGCGAGCGATTTTTCTTTTTACTCAGGTGTTTGCATTTCGATGATTTGCCCACACATGAAATAAGAAAAAAGTTGACAAACTAGCACTAATTATAATTAATTATAATATAAATATAAAAATATAAATAATTATAATTATAAGGGCCTTCAGGTTGCTTGCCAGCGTATATTTCAAGATTCACCACATAGCTTGTGTGGGACCAACATAACACATCAGTTTGTAACGAATTCTTCAAACATTTCTAGATTATAGAAATATATATTCAAATATATTCTAGATTATAGAAATATTTGAAGAATTTGTTACAAACTGCAAAACTATGTATAATCCTGGGGAATATTTGACAGTAGACGAAAAGATTATTCCATTCAAAGGTTGATGTAGTTTCAAGCAGTACCTTCCCAATAAACCCGCAAAATATGGCATAAAGACTTATGTTGGTCTCACACAAGCTATGTGGTGAATATTGAAATATACGCTGGCAAGCAACCTGAAGGCCCTTATCAAATAAGTAACTCTCCCAACAATGTTGTTGAAAGACTTGCACTTCCAATCTCCGGGTCAAAACGCAACATAACAACTGAAAATTGGTATATCAGCTATCCTCTTGCAGTAGCTATTTTGAATGAGCATAAATTGACCTTAGTAGGAACACTCAAAAAGAACAAAAAAGAAATACCACCTGAATTTATGACAAATCGCGCACGGCAAGTGTTTAGCTCAATTTTTGGTTTTCAAAAAAATGTCTCCCTTGTATCATACTAGCCGAATGACCCAGGTAACGCCCGGGTTTTACCCGATTAAATGCTTCTATTCAAATACTATTCGTTACAATTATAAATTGGCGCCGTGGATGTCATTCTTGTATAATATATAAATGAGTTTTAAAAATTGTAAAAAAAAAAAATGCATCGGCCGCTTGTATGTCTGGAACTCTTTATACTAACAGGACGTCTGTCTGGACCTTTTTAGACTAAAAGGACGTCTCTTTTTCTGGACGTCTTTACACTAACAGGACGTTTGTCTGAATGTCTTTACAATAACAGGACGTCTGTCTGTGCCTGGATGTCTTTACACTAACAGAACGTTTGTCTGTCTGGAACTCTTTACAATAACAGGACGTCTGTCTGTCTGGACGTCTTTACTCTAACAGAACGTCTCTCTGTCTGGACGTCTTTACACTAACAGGACGTCTGTTTGTCTGGAACTCTTTACACTAACAGAAAGTCTGTCTGGATGTATCTACACTAACAGGACGTCTGTCTGTCTGAATGTCTTTACACTAACAGGACATCTGTCTGTCTGGACGTCTTTACTCTAACAGAACGTCTCTCTGTCTGGACGTCTTTACACTAACAGGACGTCTGTTTGTCTGGAACTCTTTACACTAACAGAAAGTCTGTCTGGATGTATCTACACTAACAGGACGTCTGTCTGTCTGAATGTCTTTACACTAACAGGACATCTGTCTGTCTGGACGTCTTTACTCTAACAGAACGTCTCTCTGTCTGGACGTCTTTACACTAACAGGACGTCTGTTTGTCTGGAACTCTACACTAACAGAAAGTCTGTCTGGATGTATCTACACTAACAGGACGTCTGTCTGTCTGAATGTCTTTACACTAACAGGACTTCCGTCTGGACCTCTTTACACTAACAGGAGGTCTGTCTGTCTGGAACTCTTTCACTAACAGGACGTCTGTCTGTCTGGAACTCTTTACACTAACAGGACTTTTGTCTGGAACTCTTTAAACTAACAGGACGTTTGTCTTTCTGGAACTCTTTCACTAACAGGACGTCTATCTGGACCTCTTTACACTAACAGGACATCTGTCTGTCTGGAACTCTTTCACTAACAGGATGTCTGTCTGGAACTCTTTCACTAACAGGATGTCTGTCTGGAACTCTTTACACTAACAGGACGTCTGTCTGGACCTCTTTAAACTAACAGGACGTTTGTCTTTCTGGAAAGACAAGGTAATAAGACCATACCCAAATGATAAGGTACCCCATTTGGGTTATATATTAGAAAAATAAGGTATAATAAGACCACATCCAATAATGACCTTTTGGTAACAGCATTGTTACCATCTTCAGAAAAAAGTACTCTATGTACTGAAGATGGCAACAACACTGTGTGTTACTGAAACATCATTCAGAATTTAATCATTTAGATGGGGTGCTTGTTATCCCTTATTATGATCAAATTATGATTTTTACCAATTAGCTTTTCTTCCTGTAAGAGAAAACCCACTCTCTCAAAGGACCCTTTTTGGCTCTGCAACTAGGTGTTGTCCAATACAGAGGTTCTACTGTATTAGTGATGAAAACTTGTTGTTGTAGAGAGGTGTTCTCTAGTGTGAGTGTTCTCTCATGGAGGTTGTTCTACTGAATCAGTATATTGAGAAAGAGGGAACCAGAAGACTTTTTACCTCCAGCTCCTTGGGGAGTTTCTGGATCTGATGGACATAGGGTTTGAGCATGGCCGAATCAATGGGTTTATTGCAGATGGTCTTGACCTGGCTGGCAAACTGGACATTCATACACTCAGCATTAGTTTACAGCGTAAAGTCTGGTTATCTACGGACAATAACTTTCCAGAATGATTCCAAGGTTTTCCCACTATGTACTAAGTGTCAACCTGCAACCCCAAAACACATTATTGCCTGTAATGAATTATCCATTGATGAGCTCTACTCATCCCCGGCAGACACCATAAAAAGTCTCAAGTTTTACAAGCTTGATGCCCAAATATGATTGAATGGAGATAAGAAAGAAGAAGACCACTAAGATTTTATACCTAGAGTATAGACAACCCTCTAACCTTGATCCATCCATGTATAAAACTGTATAGATGTCTGAAACATATGTATAATACATTTCCTTTTTCTCACTTGTACTAATCTAAATTATATAACAATAATGTCATCAGCGAAAAGCCCAATATTGGTTTTATGTGAAATTTTTCTTCTATGCCTGCAATAAATAGGGTGAAGAGAGTTGGGCTAAGGACTGATCCTTGTGGTAATCCTTGGTACAATTTTAAGGTTTTAGATAGAGTGTCATTATATTTGACCCTGATGTATCTATTTTTAAGGAAATCATTTATCCAAGTGATAGCTTTTCCATCAATTTTGAAATGTTTGTATAATTTTGTAATTAACTTGTTTTTCCATACCCCTTAACAAAAGCTTGTGTAAGGTCTAAAAAAGCAGCTATTGTGTGGTTAGTTGGTTTTCTGTTTGTGCATCTTTTACCTTTTGTGTGAAAAATAAGAGTTGGTCTATTGTCCCATGTCCTTTCCTAAATCCATAATGTTCTTTTGGTAAGAGATTGCTTGTGTCGAGGTGGTAGGTGAGTCGTCTGAGTATAATTTTTTCCATTAATTTGCAGCAAATATTTGTGAGGGAGATAGGTCGGTAGTTTTTTGGGTCATCAGCAGATTTGTCAAGTTTTTTAATAGGAATTATTGTTGCAGTTTTCCAGTCTTGAGGCAATTTTCCAGTTTTCCAGGAGTTATTGAAAATATCAAGAAGTTTTTCTTTGCCATTTTTGCCCAAGTTTGATATCATTTGGCCATGGATTCCATCTGGCCCAGGAGTCTTGTTTAGGTCAGTGTTTTCTAATGCATAATCTAGCTCTTTCATATTGATTTTTTCATGGAAAATATTATGAGTGCTAGTGACGTTTTTACAGTCATGGGTAATCTTTCGGGCCTTTTTTTCAATTTTCTTATATTTTATTTCAAATTTGATTTTACTACTTATTTGATATGAATTACCTAAAAGATTAGCAGCATTTGTGTCATTAGTTGCTGGGGTACCATCTGTATTCTTAATCATATTTGTGTTTTCAGTTTATGGCTGGGCTCTGTCAATTTGTTTTGCCAAATGCCAAAGTTTGGTATTTGGGTTTCTTGGGTTCAGGTTTTCACAAGTTTGTTTCCATTTTTCCCTTTTCATATTTACGTATAATCTTTTTATTTTTGCATTCACAATGTTCAGTTCAGTTCTACAATTTGTTTGGTTTTGGGTGCACTTTTTTTGTAGTTCATTTATTTTAGTTATAAGTGTTTGAATATCTTTTGCCTGGTGTGTATAATTTGGATTTCATTTCTTAATATTACCTCTTGGTATTGAAACTTTGGCTGCTTTAATAATGGTGTTATTGAAAGATATCCAATTTTGTTCCAGATCTTTTATTCTAGTGGGTATATTTTTAAAGTCTTCATTGGTGTTTTGCTGGTAAATATTCCAATTAGCCTTTTTGAAGTTCCAGAATTTTTCTTTAATTGAGCTGGTTTTGGTCTTGGTGCTAATTTCTATCAAAATAGGCAAATGATCACTTCCAATACTTTTTAATATTTGCCATTTGCATTTGTAGAAAATGTCAGGACTGGATAAACTTATATCAAGGGCTTGTGCGGTATTATAACTGTAGGAATGGTGGGTAGGATTCCCATCATTTAAGCACATGAAGGCATTGTCGTCAAACAAGTTTGAAAGTATTTTGCCTCTTGGGTTTGGCGTGGAACATCCCCATAGTTGATGTTTGGCATTAAGGTCACCTACAATAATAGTGTTGTCTGTAAGAAATTGAGCCATTGTTCCATCGTCAATAAGTTTATTGTTTGGTGGGTGATACATATTGAATATGTTGATGGTTTTGTTTTGATTGAGGTAGACTTTGTTACCTTGGGCTTTGAGGTCTGATGTGTTTGGAATATTAATGGCTATGTCTTCATAGTACAAATTCTTTATTAAAAATGCAAGTCCACCCCCTTCTTTATTTCGGTCTTTTCTGAGGATATTGTAGTTTTTATATTTGAGATTGTACTTTTCATTTAATTTGGTTTCCTGTAGGGCTATAATTTGTATCTTTTGTTTTTCAGCTATTTCCATTATTTCTTCTAATTTTAATTTTGTTGCTGTTGAGCACAATCCATATATGTTGCACTGCATAATGCTCAATTGCTTGGAAGTTGCAAAGTGTGAAGTTTGTGGAGACTGTATTATACTTATCGGACAGAACCCTCTACCTAAGTCCTGAACATGCCCCTGTTTATTCTGCGCGATGGGCGATGCAGCATGCAAATCAACATCTGATCTCATGGAATGGGGTATAGGGGTGCAGCTTTCGTGCCGCCTTGGCGACCGCCGGTAGAATGTTGGTTGAAAGGCCGTTTTAAACTGTTTTCTTTTCTTCTTGCGCGGGCGTGCCTTTCACTAACAGGTTTTATTATGGATTGTTCCATATTCAAACATGCCGAGTATATTAGAGATATGTGAAGATCCCCACCTATGTATCCCCAACCCAGAAGCTAGGTTTACCTGGAGTGTTGATTTGGTCTGCTCCACCACGGTGGGGCTAACAGTGCAGATTAAGGCAGTCTTGGAGTTGCCCTCCAGGGAGTTCTTTAGGATCCGGGTCAGCTTGGAATCCCGGTAGTTCACATGGCTACTCCATCAACCAACACATCGTTATCTAGCTTCACAAGGCTTGAAATACATTTTGGACAAGTGGGGTATATTTTGTTGTTATTTTCTACCTTCAATGGCTTGAGATGT